CGCTGTAAGAAATGGGGTACGTTTGCCTGCGCGATCCGAAAGTAAAAACAATCATAGAAACCGAATTGATATACATAATGATATTTTAGCAGTTAATCGTATTATGAACTGAATTGCATCTATCTTTCGAACAGTATGGTATGGTCGTTGTAGCGCATCAACAGATATTTATTATGACTATCTTGTTATGATTTGTCGTATTAGGTAACAAAATACAATTGGTCATCATCTTCGGCAAAATGAGATATTCAAGGAATAAGAGAATCAAAATTATATATACTTTGATTCGTACAAAAATGAACCTTGAAGTACGTTAATGAATCAGGAATAAATTAATGTGCATAAATAGGTTTTCAGACTCTCGGAACAATGTTGCTGTTGACAGATGTGACAATGTCAAAATTGAGAGAAAAAGTCGATTTCGCATATACACTGAAATTACCAAAATACCCTACGACCATTTAATATAAAGATCATAAGCTGGTTACCTTCACAGAGTAGGCAAGTGAGAGCGTCACAGCGAGCGGTAGTCCTTCGGGTACTGCTATTACCAGCACTGTAATACCTATGATGATGTACTGGATGAGCACTTGGATATCTTCCACTTGAAACGAGCGTTTCTTAATGGTGAACTCTTCAATACAGAATCGAGTGACCAGCGCCATCACAGTCATCACCGCAACTATTGTACCTAAAAACAGGTGCCTTAAAACACTACATACAAATAATCAAAGTACCTGGCGGAGAATAACAGATCAATAGGAGTAGAGGCATGACATAATTAGGGCTCTGCACTAAAACTGAACGTTCTTCGGGCGTTTACAATGCAGCATTCGAAATGAAACCTGTGAGTAAGGGGTAGCTATGACTGGATCGAAAAAAATTGAAAATGAAAACTGCAACGACATTAGAGAAGGAAAATACGATTGCCGTCGACACCGGACTAAGTCCAGAAGAACGTCTGTGCGGCACAGTTCATAACATCGAGAGATCAATGTTATTTTGATACTTTGAGCGAAGGTTTTCGTATTTGGCGTATGACAATCAACGTATACGTAAGCTGTATGGTCTCGTTGCAATGTAACCTAAATTCTGATGGTTTCGTTTTATCCAGAAGGGTGTGTTTCGCTTTGTTAACTGCTAACTCTAGAAGTCAGGAATTAATGCCGCTGTTCGCAGATCCGCGACTGCTCAGAAACCGAGACAGCATGTCCAAAGTTTGCGAGGCCTTCAGTCTTGCTGCCTATTCGTTTCAATTCACTCGATAGCTAATTCAGCATTCAAGAGTCCGTAAGTTGAAACTGCTGTTAAAGACAGAATCAATTAACATGAGGCACGTTCGCGCCTTGACATGAAAACCATGGAGTTGCGTGATCGACGAATTGACGCGCCCGTTCGGAAAGTAACGACTTGCAGCCGTCGATCCGATGACTCGAAAGGAAACATGATCTTTGCAAATCAATGAATGCATTTTACCGAAAGGCAAATAACAGAACTGACTCTCTCCATGAAAACGGTATGAATGCTGACATTACGAAAAGGCGTACCCGCATATCCTATCTGCTTGGCCAGTCTTGTCAGCTTTGCTTGGAGCACAGACTTTTCCTTTTTGCCGACTTCTGCTGAGTCTTTGACTTTCTTCAATTTTTCCAGGTTTTCATTGGTGTGATTGGTCACCAAGCCACCTTGGAAGAAAAGAAGAAGAGCGATTAGTACGTCTA